CTCCCTCTGCCACTCACCCTGCTTGTGTTCCCTCTCTTGCTGTGTCTCTCTCTGTCAAATAAGTAAATAAAATCTTTAAAAAAATTAAACTGAAATGGGATAAAAACTTAAACATAAGATCTGAAACTTTTCAACTCATAGAAGAAAACAGGAAGAAAGATCTTTGATATGCCCTTGACATTGATATTTTTGGATATGCCACCAAAAGTTCAGGCAACAAAAGGAAATAAAATCTGTAGGACTATATAAAACTTATCTTCTGCATAGCAAATGAACAATTGATAATATTGAAAAGCAGCATTTTGAAAGGGAGAAAATATTTGCAAGCCAATTATCTGATGAGGTTTTAATATCCATAATATTTAGGTAACTTACACAACTCAATATTAAAATAGTAAATTGATCAAAAAATAGACAAATTACCTGAATAGATATTTTTCAAAGAAGACATACAAATGGTCAACAGGTATATAGGATGCACCAAATGTATAAGCAAAAAACAAAAATAAAATGAAACTACATCACACTGAAAGCTTCTGTACATCAAAAGGAAAAAATAATTGAAATGAAAAGGCAGCATATGGAATGGGACAAAATATTTGGAAACCATCTATTGATAAGAGGTTAATATCTAAAATATATGAGGAAGTCGGGTGCCTGGGTGGCTTAGTTGGTTAAGCGACTGCCTTCGGCTCAGGTCATGATCCTGGAGTCCTGGGATCGAGTCCCGCATCAGGGTCCCTGCTCAGCAGGGAGTCTGCTTCTCCCTCTGACCCTCTTCCCTCTCGTGCTCTCTATCTCTCATTCTCTCTCTCTCAAATAAATAAATAAAATCTTAAAAAATAAATAAAATAAAATAAAATAAAATATATGAGGAACTCATGAAACTCAATAGAAAAAAATAATCAAGGTGAGGTGAGGCTGTGAAGAAAAGGGAAACTTTGTGCACTCTAGACACAAATGTAAATTGGTACACTCACTATGGACAACAGGATGAGGTTCTTCAATAATTAAAAATAGGTGGAGCACCTGGTTGGCTCAGTTGATTTAGCACCTTCAGCTCAGTTCATGATCCCAAGGTCCTGGGATCGAGTCTCACATCGGGCTCCCTGCTCAGGGGGAGCTTGCTTCTCCCTCTTCTCCCTGCCTGTGTTCTTTCTCTCATCTCTCTCTCTTTCAAAAAATAAAATAAATAAAAAATCTTTAAAAAATAATATTAAAAATAGAACTACCATATGATACAGGAACCCCACTTCCGGGTATATATCCAAAGGACATCAAATCACTTTATCAAAGATGATAGATGATAGATAGATAAATAGATAGATGATAGATAGATTAGATATATAGATATAGATGATATAGATATATATTTCAGCCATGAGAAAGGAGGAAGTCCTGCCATTTATGACAATAGAGATGGACCTTGAGGGTATTATTTTAAGTAAAATAAATTAGAAAGACAATACTGTATGATCTCATATGTAGATTGTAAAAAGGCTGAACTTATAGAAACTGTACAGTGGTGATTGCCTGGCACTGGGTGAGGGGAAATGCAGAGATGTTGTTCAAATGGTACAAACTTCCAGTTATAAGATGAATATGTAGTGGGGATCTAATGTACAGTGCAGTGACTATAGTTAACAATGCTGTATTATATACTTGAAATTTGGTAAGAGAGTAGACCTCAAATATTCTCACCACAAAAAAAGAAATGGTAATTATATGATGTATGGAGGTATTAACTAAACCTAACATGGTCATAATTTTGCAATGCATATGAGCATCAAATCATCACACTGTACACTTCAAACATACACAATTATATGTCAGTTATGTTTCAAGAAAGCCAAAGTAAAAAGATAAAAAAAATGAGGTTACAGAAGATAAGTTAATTATAGGAGCCATATCCTTAAGTAGCGAAGAAAATCCAGTGCCCAGTGTTGTGAGTTGAATTGTGTTACCCATAAAGATACATTCAAGTCCTATCATTTGGTACCTGTGAAATTGACCTTATTTGGAAACAGGGTCTTTGCAGATGTAATATAGTTTAGATGAGGTCATACTGGATTAGGATGGGCTCTCATACAATGACTGGTGTTCTTATGAGAAGAAGGAAATTTGGACACAGACACAGACAGGGAGAGTGTGCCATGTGATGATGGAGGCAGAGATCGGGGTGATGTATCTACTATCCAAGGAATGCCAGTGATGGCCAGAAACTGCCAGAAGCTAGGAGAGTCATGGGACAGATTCTTCCTCAGAGCCTCAAGGAGCCCATACTTCTGAGATCTTGATTTTGGTCTTTTAGGTCCCAGAAATGTGAGACAATAAACCTCTAATGTTTTAAGCTAGCTAGTTTGTGGTAATTTGTTTCAGCAGCCCTAGGAAACTAATACACCTTAAGTTATATTTAGATATGATCAAGAATAGGGTATCTACTCCATTAGGAGGAAGGAAGAAAAAAAGGTAGTAAAGATACATATAGACTAGGATATTTAGTTGTGGCAATGGTGAAAATTTCCCCTTTTTGTCTCTATTAACCAAGAGTGGGGTGGAAAAATCTATTGTAAATTTAAGAGAAAAAAATGTAAGAAATAGTCATCTTAAAGGAGAAATTTAAACAGATGAGAAAACTTTAATACCATTGCTGGATATCATTAATGACCCACTTGCAGTTTGACATTATAAATTAAATTGAAGCTAGTTGTTATGGTTACATGGTTTTCCTCAACCATATTCAGCTTGCAAAGGTACTACTGAGGAGTAATGGGGGAGATGGATTTATCTAAAATTAGGGTTTTGTCGAAGAAATGTCAAAAGGAGAGTGGGTAAAGGGGATTGAAGATGTATGCCGGAAATTATTTGTATTGGTTCACCATGAACTTATAAGAACATAAGATAAGGGGCACCTGGGTGGCTCAGTCATTAAGTGTCTGCCTTTGGCTCAGGTCATGATCCCAGGGTCCTGGGATCGAGCCCCACATTGGGCTCCCTGCTCAGTGGGGAGTCTGCTTCTCCCTCTCCCACTCCCCCTGCTTGTGTTCCCTCTCTTGCTGTGTCTCCCTCTGTCAAATAAATAAACAAAATCTTAAAAAAAAACATAAGATAGGTAAGGATCTATAAAGGGTAAGAATATAAGTAAAGCCATGGGGAAAGGACTAATGGGCAATAGTTCGAAGGTGCTAAAATCAATAGTAGGTCTTATTGGGGTAGAAGAACTGTTGGAATGTGGGTATTAGATGTACCTGAAACAGTGGTTGGAAAATGAAATGTTTGAAATTAAGATTTTGGAGGGATATGAATAGGAGTGAGCCACTGAGATAAGATGGAAGGCAAGATAATTTGAGAAAATAAAGTCAAATAATTGAGATGTTGGGGTATGAGAATGATTATCTACATCTTAAAATTACCAGGGATTAAGGCAAGAGGGAATGGCAGTGGGCCAGACAGAAAACCATGCAAAATAAAGGGAATGACCTGGGAGTTACTAGATGAATATAGCAAGGAAAGGTAGCAGATGATATAATCTGATGACATGAGATTCAAAGCTGGCTATTTTTAGGGAGTAAGGATGTAGAATGAGTTTGAAATGCCATTGAGGAACCAAGCATACATCTACTGCACCTCTGGATCCAGTGGTAGGAAGGGACATGGAAAGGAAAATATCTCCTACTCAAGAGGGCCTCACGAAAAGGAGTGTATTTGAGAAAGCCAAGTTTCAGAGAGCAAGAAAGTGGAGATATTCAGATAAGAGGCAGAGGGGGATGTAGAAGATTTTGCTGATGACAGTGTGTTTCAGAGATAATACCCAATGGTGATGTAATCCTGAAGCCTTTATGATGTAAGAGGAAAGATGAGATGTAGACAGAACCAAACTAGAAATATCTTTCTAAAAGCACTAGTAGCTCAATTTTAATTTCTAGATCAAATCATTCTTTTTCTTTCTTTCACAGTGTATTGAAATTTCTGATTTTAAAAGTAATGCATACTCATTGAAAAACATCCAAACATCACAAAAATGTGTCATTGAAAAAGGAAATAGCCTTTAGATTTTTTTTTAGAATTTGAATTTCTGAGTCAAAGATTTTCTAAATTTTCTTCTCATAAATGAGGTTGTACACCTTTTCATATGTTTACTGACCATTCACATTTCTTTTACTATAAAATACCTGTTTATAACTTTCAACTGTTTTTATGTCACCTTAAGTATATCTTTCTTATTGATTTTTATCTGCTTTTTATATTAGATTGTACCATAAGAAATTTCCATTTTTGTAGGTAAAAATTGGTTGAATACTGATAATCTCTTATGGTTCAGCTAATACACATGGCTATTAGCTGGTGGCTCCAAATCAATATGGTCTATATTATCCTAATTTTTGTATTATTTCAGCAATATTCTTTTAGAGGTGATCAACTTTTAAAGACCAACACTGAAAGATGTGGCCACTAAAGCCTGCAGAAATACTATTGTTTAATTCCATGTTAATAATATTCATCATCTGCTTAATGACTCCTTTTAAAAGTCAACTCACTATACATTCTTTTATTGGATACAACACTAAATCTTCCTTTTTATCAGAGAAAAGGATGGTCTAATTTTCCTTTTACATAAAATTAAATATATCAAAGTTTTATAATAAAGTCTTACTACACTGTATCCTGCTTTACATTTTAAGTGCCTTCATACATATTAATTACTTCCCTTCTCCTTAAAATAAGATATGATTATAAGCACACATGCACACACACACACACACACACACACACACTGGTTAAGACTACGCAACTATTTCATGAAAAACCTTGAAGTAGTTAAATCTCAAAGCAAAACACCCAAGATATTGCTGAAAATTTCATATCTCTGTTTAAAATTTTAATCTACAAATAAAATTAACATGAGAGAAACATTATTTACATTTAAAAATATAAATATGTTGCTAAGTTGAGCATGTTAGTCATTAAAAATACTAAAAAGTATTAAATGAAATACTTACAATCTTGGAAGAGACATTTCCCCTGCCTCTATGTTGCCAGGACTTTAGCATTGTAAATTCAGTGGTAATGTTGAGTGATGACATCATAAAGACACTGTGAATAACAGGAAGTTGAAAGGAAAAGACAGACTAATTATATTTTACAATGTATAGATGCTTTTGAAATCCATTCTAAAATTGTAGCTGTGTTTACACACAATATTTTACAGCTTGAACTGAGAGAATTAGTCATTTTTTTCATTGACTGAACCTATTTGGTTGTTTAATAAATATCTAATTATTTGATATCAGACTATTTTAACACTAGTTTTGAGCATGGATGTATATGTGTGCATGAAAAGTCTATAGGGACTGAAAGGAAAATAAAAGAATATAAACACTCCTCTATAAAGAGCAACTTTAATCCTGTACATTTCCTTCACATTCAGATTTCTCCCCCTAAAAACTGTATATATGCTCACAGTAATATTTTTTCAAAAAAACTTGAATATAATTTTTTTAGATGTGTAAATTACACAAAGGTACAATGCCTATTAAAATTGTACCAAAATGTCTTTAAAATGTTTTATATCTCCCAAACCTAAAAACAACTATTGTTATATATAGAGTTTTGTTAAAACCAGTTATCAAATTCTACTTGGTAGGAAATTTGCAAATATGAGCTTTTTGTTATATAAAATGGAAACTCAATTCCCTAGGTAAGGATATGTACTGGAAAAAAAATTGTCTCTTATGTATTCAGATAAAAAAAGTGAGCATCTTCTTGGCCCCAGCATGAGAAGTAATTCATTAGTTATTCTCATTTTCACCACTTTTTGTCATTAATTTTTTATTTATTTTTGAAAGTGTATATTTCTTATGTAATACTCTATTTCATTTTTAGGAAATAAAAGGAAAATGTGATCCAAAACGCTAAGTTAATTTTCACTTGAATAGTGCTATGCAGTCTCAGAATCGTTTCATTAGCCAAAATGAGCTTAAAAGCCCATCAAACATATTGACTTTTGAAGCAAAGTAATACAAAGCCACTCGATTTGTAAGCCAAGAATGGACCACAATCAGTAAAGCAATAAAAGTAACACTAACTATGTGTAAAGAGCCTTGAAAAATGTTCCTACCCTGAGGCCCAGTAATTCTACTTCTAGAAATGCAACCTAACTAACTTATTATTTCAGCACAAAGATGTTTACTATAGTTTTACATAAAATTTAAAAATTTGGAAACATTCTAGATGTCTAAGATTAGGGAATAGTTTTAACAAATCTCTATATTACAGTTCCATGAAGGTAGGAATCATGTTTGTTTTGTTCATCAATATATCCCTAGCATTTGCATGGAAAAAAAAAAGGAACATAGAACTATACATACATTTTTATATCTACTATATAAATCAAATGTATTTATTGTGAAAAGAAAGACAGTTAAACATACCAAAATGCTAAAAGTAGGATATGGATAATTTTATTTTCTGCATATCATGTTTTACACTTAAAGCTTCCTACAAAATATGTATATATTGATAAGCAAAAATGCAATAATAAAAATATATGTAAAGCATTGCAAGTACAAATAGAAATAATATATGGGACATTTATATTCTTGGATTATTGGGGCTGATAAGAAAATAAGCATTACTTTTGAAAGACTGTTGAGAAGGGTGCCTGGGTGGCTCAGTCTGTAGGGCTCCCAACTCTTGGATTTGGCTGGGTTGATTCATGGGATCGAGCCCCCATCAGCCTCTGCACTCAGTGGGAGTCTGATTGAAGATTCTCTCCCTCTGCCCTCCCCTTACTTTTGTGCTCTCTCTCTTTCATTCTCTCTCTAAATAAATCTTTAAAAAAAAAAAGACTGTTGAGGAGACAAAGCCAATTAACAAAAAAATCTTGATTAATGACTGCTTTTTTTTAGCTTACTTGTTAAATTAATTAAAATAGTCAAATTGACATATAAATACAGCTTCAGTGGATTAAAAATTATGGTCAAAATTTCCAAGAGTCATTTAAGGAAAATTAACTAATATCTATGAAGATATAAAGCTATAAAGTATAAATGGCTTATTTTAACTCTTGTGAACAGTGTGCTTAGAGTTTTGATTTTTATTTGTACATATTACTATTGATTTGAAGTTTTAATCTTAAGGAAGAAAATTAGTGGCAAGAAGAACCAGAGAAGGGCCTTGTTGTAAGCACTAGGAAAGGTCTGGGGCTCAAGTAGAGTACATAACCTGTACAAACCCCAACCAAGGCAAAACTGAGGCAGGACTGAGGCTGGTTGTCTCCTTCTCTCTTTCTCTTTTGTCACATGGGTTTCCTTTTTTTTCCCACCTCAGATTTTTCCCAGATTGTTTTAAAAATGAGATATACAGGAGGGAAGAATGAAAGCATATGCACATCTACAATGAGATTTGGCTTGGGTCCTGGACTTCTTTCCAAGAATGACCTTGAGCTTTGAAGAAGAAAAAATATTTTCTTTTTTTTCAGTCACCAATTTTAGTCTTTAACAACATTCACACACAGACTAGCAGGAGATCACACCATAAATTAAATCTGAAGCCCCCCTACCATTTTCTCCCCTATCTGGCCCTCCCTGCCACTCTCTATTTTTTTCTGTAGCACTTATTACATTCTGTATAACTTATTTGTTTATTGTTTATCATCCACCACTAGAATATAAAGCCCATGGGGGCAGGAATTTTTGTTTTATTTACTGATGTATCTCCAGTGCCTGAAATAGTGCCTGGCAAATAGATGACACTGACATTTTTATTGAATGAACAAATAAAAGCTATAATTTTTTTATTATATAAGGAAATGTTGGCTATCTCAGGTATTTTCTTTAACTAAGGAAGCATCATTAATGTCTGTAGCCACTGAAAAGCTAAGATTGAAATGATCAAAACAATGCCATCTAATAGTAACAGGACTAAATTGGCCATTTATTTTGAGTCAAAATTTATGACTATGTTGCATTTTCATTTTGCACTGGTTCCCTGCTGGTCCTGGTGGTAAGGGTGGAAGTGTTCTGAAGGGATATGCTTGGGAATAAATACATATTAAATTGGAATTCAGGAAACCAGTGTTCAGATGTTGACTTTGGCACTAATCATATGGCCCTGGATAAGCTAACTAAATTTTCCTTGGTGTCTCAATCTGTAATAGGGATAGATAAGATAGTTTGTTCACCTGGGAAGACACAGACGGTTAAAGATCTAGGAGGGTAGTAATCAAGTGATCCAGAGAGCCATATTCCACATTTCAAAAACTGAGATAGGTAGCATTCTGTGTTAATATATTTTATGTAAAACAATATGAATGTTTTTGCATGTAATATATTGACCCAGTAAGGTAATACCACTATTTCATACTGATCAGACACTCTGATTGGCAATCATATGTAATAAGAATAATTGTTAATAATAGAAAGTTATGGAATTCAGCATTTGAGATAAAAAATAAAATCTAAAGTGGCCCTTCTACCCCTATTCCTACCATTACCTAGGAAGTTCTTGTATGTTAAAAGGAGTCTGGTATCTCCATCTAGTTAGAATAGTGGTTCTCAAATCTTAAACTTCAATCATTTATGAGGACACTCTCAAATTATGATCAATAGATAATATAAATGATTGTAACAAGTGAGGATGCACACTTCAAGTCTTGTCAAAAGGGACCTTGAAGTGAGTGAATCATCTGATATTGAGTGGAATAAACTTTGCAGCAAATTAAAAGGGGCAAATTGAGATATCAAATTTGAACCAACAATCTTGTATTTCCTGGAACATGCAACACAAGCCCTACATGAAGGTAAGGCTATTTCTGTTTTTTTGCTGTAGTTGTTAATAATTTAAACTCCATGCTTAGCAGAGTGCTACTTCAAGTAAGTACTCAACAAATATTTTTTTAATGGATAAATATGTAAGAGAATGTACGATTAGGAAAGAGTTGTAGTTAGGTAGAGTTAAAGGGCTGACATGCAACAATTTAAATAGTACAAAAGTGGATATTTTATAGATTGTGAGTGACATTCAGTATTAGATTAGTTATTTGCAATTATTGTGGCCTTGTATAGCTTTAGTTAGAATCTTTTATTTGAAACGTGCTCAGAAATCCTCATTTTTAGATGTGAGAGTGATCTGGCTGTGACATCTGTCACCCCACTGATCACCAGGATTGATTCAACTGATCTGTCTGGCTAGGCAGGTGTTCCGTTCCTTCCTCACCACTCCATGTGCATCCCTCTGGAAGCTGCACATTAGGTCAAAAAAGATGACCTTCCCTAATAGAGGAGGACCATTCTTTGCTGCAGGGTGTGAGAATAGCTGTGCTCCCCTGCTATAACCTCCAAACAAGCTCTCAAGGTCCATTTGTAGGACAACGTAAGGTAGTTAAGCTTCCAAAATTCCAGACACATCCAAATGAGGTGCCTCATGTGGCAGTCTGCCTTTCTTAAAAACAGAACAAAACAAAATCTTACTTTCAAATGTGTGCTATAAACACATGTACACACACAATTGTGAATCATAGAATCAGAATAACTTGTCTTTCAAAAAAGGAAATTTTTTAAAACTTGAGAGAACACAACTAAATGTTCTATTTATATGTAAGACCAATAACAACTAAATGGTGGCTATATTTTGAGAAGATAATTGAAGATCAGTGACAGAGTTTGTTAGATATTTATTTTGATTGTTCAGATAAAAAAAATAAAAAGGCAAATGAATCAGAGGATTGGAGTGACAACACCAATGCACTGCCCTTTTTGTTTTTCTTTATAAAGATAAATACTACACATGGAACTCCCATGTTTCAGTAAGTGAACATGTGGATCCAATCTATTTCTCCAATCTCTTTGTGCCATTTCCCTCATATTCCTGATACCCATGTTTACTGAAAGATGTTGTGATAGACCTTATTGATTGTCTTTCTTAGCTGTTATCACCATAGAAGTTAGGAATTCTATGTACATACTTTCCAAGACTTTTCTTGTAGGTAGTAGTGGTCAGCTGACCTAGACTGGGCCAATGATAAATAAAAATACTTA